TTTTATAGAATATAGACTTCTTGAGCGATCTAAAAAGCAAAATGAATACTTTTGTACCCAGGGTACCAAAAAAGTGTCCCAGAACTCCCAATTTCGCCCTACTGCTGCAGAAGTTAATACTTGGGTTAAGTTTAATATGCTAGCCGAAGTAAGAATGATAGTGTTTAAATGCTATTTTATTCGGTTATATACTGAAATCTCAAAAGACAAATTTCCAAAAAGGACATAATATCGAAAAAGTTAGCCAGCATTAGGTATAATGCTGGCTAATTTAGTCAGTATTATATTCTTTCAGAAAAATGGCTTTCAGGATTTTAGAGTAGAACTATTTTATTTGAATATTTAGATTTTTTTTTTTTCTGATCACATTTTTATCATCTCTAGATCGAGGAAGGTGATGTTTATCTGATGGGTGTTCAGCATTAGACATGATACTTGATTCTACTTAGCAATTTCAGGATTCTAACGTGAAAAAGGATGTTGACATTGGAGTTGTTGACGGAAAGCTTAAATTTTCTGTGTTGATCGATCAGCATCTTAGTCATGAAGCATATACTAATCAAAAAATGGAGAGAAAAGTTGCAGGATTATCTATATCTGTTTTAAATAATCAATTTAGCAGTCTTATATCATACCTTTCTTCAAACGAATCTACTCGTCCTGGTGTTCTACATCAAAATCGATAGCAAATGAGATCAAAATTTGAACGACTAACCGATAGAACAAAAAACTCAGTCAGTAAGTTAAATTTTATTTACTAACTTTTGTGTTGAAATGTGATAATCAAAAGTTATTAGAATTCTGAACTAATATTTATTATGACTCTTTGTTATTGAGTGTTGTTAAATCAAATAATGATGGTTAAAAGTAGAAACTAGAGAATTAATATCGCAATATATTCTTGATTTATAAAGACCTAGACACTGCAAATATATTTGGGTGTTTTTAAAATTCACTAAAAGTGCAATTCTAGCAGACATTGTAATTGTAGATTCTGCTACTTAACTATAATATTGAGAACGAAAAAGTTATACATATAATTCTTGTGGATAATGTAGTTTTTGATTCATTTATGAAGAAACAGACACTATTAAGAATGAAAAGTGTGGTAGTTAGTCTTTTAATAGTAATAATTCTGATGGACAGTAAATGTTACTAAAGATGAAAAGAGAGCATTTGAGCAATATTTAAAATCTGATGAAGATATTAATTCTCATGAACAACGTAAACTTGGATTAGCAAATGAAAAAAGGTATCGGCACTATTAAGGATGAAGAGAAAGCAATTGAGTGATATTTAAAGTTTGCATCAGCACTATTAAGAATGAAGAGAAAGCAATTGAGTAGTATTTAAAGTTTGCATCAGCACTATTAAGGATGAAGAGAAAGCAATTGAGTGGTATTTAAAGTTTGCATTGGCACTATTAAGTATGAAGAGAAAGCAATTGAGTGGTATTTAAAGTTTGCATTGGCACTATTAAGGATGAAGAGAAAGCAATTGAGTGGTATTTAAAGTTTGCATCGGCACTATTAAGGATGAAGAGAAAGCAATTAAGTGGTATTTAAAGTTTGCTAAGATCGATAATTTGGGCAAATAATATATGTAATTTGTTAATATGTTTTAAGAATGAAGAGAAGACATTTGATCGGTATTTGAATATGAAGGTGACTCTAGTGGACAATATAGTCTTGAATTTACCCGTGAAAGAAAGCATAGGCTAAAGGTGGTAACTCCGATAGGCAATATAATCTTGAATTTGCATCTGAGAGACGTAATCAAAATCTGCTAAAATGGTAATTACGATACTGGATTTTGCTATATAAACACTATAAAAAGGATTCAAGTGTGTATTTAAGAGTGGTAATTCTAATGACAATATGATCTTGTCTTCTGCTACAAAGATGGTATCTGTATATTAAAGGTAAAAAGAAGACGCTTTAGTGGTATTTGAAATCTGCTTTATATAATAAATTCTCTTGTTTCTACTTTTCGCTACTTTAATATATAATTAAGTACTAAATATTTGATTTGATTATGCTTTATAATTGGGTATTTTAATTTTATCTGAATATTTATTAAGTTCAAATACTTGGTTTTCTAATTTTTATATTTATATATTTATATTATAGGGTTAGCAGAAATTTCAACAGAAAATGTGAGTTTAGTACATCCAGCTATGCAAGAAGGATTTGGAATTGGGTGAATTAATGATACTATTTTTTTCTTTCAAATTCTTGCACTATATTACAAAAATTCGAATTATCATTCTTTTATTGAGTAATATACAAATATTGATGAACTTTTATATATTTCAGTGAAAGTTTTTTTTCAACTTCGTAACAATTTATTTTCTTCAATTTCTGACAATGGTTATATAATTTTTACCTATATTTCAACTTCTTTTATATATTACTTTGGAAAAGGTAATTTTGTAATATTTGATGAAAAATTGGGTTTATTGACTGTTAATAATTCAATATATGAATTGTTTAATTATTTTAATACTCCTAATATGAAGCAAAGGTTGCGAGAGATTTTATAAATTTTTAGCAATTTTGTTAATAGAATAAAGAAAATAATTGTATATTTGCTTAATAATTTGAATTTTTAATAATTTTTTGATTATTAATAAAATTTTAAAATTTAAAAAATTTAAATATAGTATATATAAAAATTTATATAGGTTGTATTTAAATTTTGGTTAAAATTATCTAATTATTAAAGCTTATATGTAAAATTTGGTTAATATAACTTAAATCAAAGTGGATAAAATTTATAAAATTTTTATATTAAAGCTAATATAACCTCTATATATATTGTTCGGAATCCTACGTAGATACGTCCAAACATGTGATCCATGTCAACATAGGACTCAGCCTCGTACGCAGGCACCATTGACTCTCATACCCATCTCGGCCCTTTTTATAAGATAGGGTTGGATTTTGTTGGTTCCCTACCTTGTACACCTGGTTAAATCAGTATATATTGGTTGCAACTAGTGTTCCTATGAACCTGTTTATGAACATGTTAAAAGGTTAAAATAAAGAAAAAAATAAATAATCGCAAAGATAAAAATACTTATATCTCATAATCTACTAGGCCAATTTTAATGTTTTAATCACCATTCTGTTCCCAAGACACTTCTCTACAACTTTACTTAGGCATTGAAAAGAGTTTACTTAGTAAAGAAAAAATTTTTTTCTTTGAGAAACTCCAAAGATAAAAAGCTTCTATCTTAATAAAAGGGTTAAATTTTAACTAAAACATTTTTCTTTACTAAGTAAACCTCTTTTTAACTTCTAACAAAAGTTGTAGAGGAGTATCTTGTAATCAAAATGATGGTTAAAATGTTAAAATTGGCCTGGTAGATCGTGAGATATAAGTATTTTTATCTTTGCAATTATATACTTTTTTCTTTATTTTTAAAGAAAAAAATTTTTTTTATATAAATAAAGAAGAAAGCAAAGATAAAAATACTTATATCTCATGATATACTAGACTGATTTTAACATTTTAACAACCATTTTAATCACAAGTTACTCCTCTACAACTTTTGTTAGAAGTTGAAAAGAAGGTTTACTTAGTAAAGAAAAATGTTTTGGTTAAAATTCAATCCTTTTATTAAGATAGAAGCTTTTCAACTTTGGAGTTTCTCAAAGAAAAAAATTTTTCTTTACTAAGTAAACCTCTTTTCAACGCCTAAGTAACGTTGTAGAGAAGTGTCTTGGAAATAGAATGGTGATTAAAACATTAAAATTGGCCTAGTAGATCATGAGATATAAGTATTTTATATTTATTTTTTTCTTTATTTTAACCTTTGAACATGTTTATGAACAGGTTTATAGGAATACTAGTTGCAACCGATATATGACCCACTAGCCTGAAACACGAGCTATGGAGAAGGCAAATACACAAACTGTTGCAAAGTTCCTCTACAATGATATAATTTGTAGGCATGGGTGCCCTAGCTGTATTCAATCTGACCGAGGGACTCACTTCCGAAATGACATGATAAAGCTGATCCTGGAGAAATTAAAGGTTAACCAGCAATTTTTGACTCCATACCACCCTTGCACAAATAGTCTAGTTGAACGTTTCATCAAAATGTTGTGTAAGGCTATTGGAAAGTTGGTTAAAAACATTGTTAATTGGGATTTGATAATCCCTTCGATTTTATTTGCATACTGAACTGCTCAGAATGCTATCACTCGTATAATGCTGTTTTATCTAGTATATGGCCATGAGGCAAGACAGCCCATTCACCCAAGTCATTTGGAGGATTTATTGGAGAGGACTATTTTGCAGAGGACTTTTAAGTTAATAAATGAGCTTCCTATCATTCGAAATCAAACTGTAGAAAGGGTAAAAGAGAAACAAAAAGCAATAAAAACCTACTATGATCAGAAACACTGAGTAAATTTCAGATTCATGATTGGTGAAAAGGTTCTCCTGGAAGATGTGAAGAAAAAGTACTCCCGAAGTGATAAGTTTGCCCCGAAGTGCCTTGGTCCATATTATGTCCATGATAAATTCCCCAACAATGTATATAAACTGAGAACAATGGAATGAAAGGTAATTTTGGCCCCCTTTAACCTGGGGTTGTTAAAGAAGTATTATAAGCCTAATGAACCTCTCAGCGAGTCTGGAGACTTGTTGTTACCAGAAAATTAAAAGGAATAATTCCCAGTGAAGAAGGTTGGTCGTGACAGTTGTGTTGGGTTAAGGAGCACATAGCAAGGGAAACCTTCGTGAAAACGTGGGCATGAATTTTTAAGGAGTCCATATGAGTTTTTTGGTGTGATTGTTGTTTTTTTTTGGGTGTAGGTGTTAGATTGGTACTTTAATGAAATTCAAAAGAGATAGATCGACTCATATCTGTCGTACAGAACCTAAGACCTGGTCCAATTTTCCACGGGACGTGAAAAATTAAGAAGAGAAAAATTGTTAATGTTGAACCGGCAGTTCTGCTGCGCTAAAACCACCATCACGGGTCCAAAAGCGTGATTAGGACCTGACTCAAAGCACTTCTCAGAATCAGCAATAAATCAGGAGAAATGTGTTTCCTCCACAAAGCCCTAAATAAACTAAGCCTGAAGTAGCCTCAGGAGCATAAAAGAATCAAAGCAAGTTGCAAAAGAATCAGAAAGATGCTATAATTGCATCTATGAAATAATTAGCGTTTAGAAGGTCTCGGGACCATGGATTAGTGAATTCCCAGATGAGGCGTAGAGAGAAAACCATGGGATGGCCACCTGGTTTAAAATGCTAACTAAGCATCTCCCAAAAAGGCTAGATGAGGCGGTGATACTGATGGGTAAAACAAGCCAAATGAAACCAAATCAGGAAATTGCATGGCCATGTGGAATGAATGTTTACAATCATGCAATCGAAGGCCTACTCATCCAAAGATCATCTGAAAAGTAGGCAAATACGATGAGATAAGGAGTTGTAGTTCCATTCTTCTTTTTTCTTTCAATATGAACCAAACTATGTATAAATAGACTTGTAATACGCTCTGGTAAAAGGGCAGTTCGGTTTGAATGAAAATAAAATAAAAAGTTTTAATAAAACGTCCATCCCTAGAGTCCCTCATTTTGCGTATAAACCCATAATAAATCAGCCATAAGCCTTTTCCTCACCAAATCTTAACCGCCTCACCATTGTTGGTTTGTTGTGTGGTTTTTGTTGAGTTGTGTTTTAGAGTGGTGACCACTAGACTCGCATATATCTAGTTTCGCCACTAACAATAATAACATTGAATACCCCAATATTTTTAGATGCTATAACGGTAAATCTTATTCCTTGTACGTACATTCTTGTTCAATCTAAGTACAGCATCTGAGTGCTTTCATAATGTCATTGCAACATTTAAGTAATGAAACTTATGATGTTGACCTTTTTCAAGTTGCTTTTTTTGATGAGTTTGTTGAACGCAAGCATATAATACCACCATCACCACCCATTTTGTCAGAAGTATATGGTGCAACTGTTGGAGCTTTAGTGGCAATGCTTATACCAATTGCATTTGTCAATTTTATTACATTATTAGGATTTGGATCAAGTGGAATAGTCGCAGGGTCTTTTGGATCCTGGTTCATGTCACTTTATGGTGGCACGGTCAGAGCTCGTAGTATCTGTCCTATAATGCAATCAATTGGTGCAACGGGTGTGATAGGCAATATTGAAACTGCTTGTTTAGTTCTATTGGAGCGGCAGCTGGAGCAATATTTGGAGTACAAATTGCAAAACACTTTGAAAACGAAGACAACAAATTGACAGAAACAAAACTAGTATTATTAAATGAATTTCTGGAAATTGAAAGAAATAATTTAATCAATGGATTATCAATTACTATTAATCAAAAGCTTTTAACCAATAAGGAATTTATAGATACATTCCTACAAGTATTTTCAATTTGTATTATATTTACTAGATCAAAAAATTATCAATTTTTGATTGATAATAAAGATTATGAATATTTTCTTGGAAGATATCTATCAGTAATGTTGATTATAGGTTATGATCAATCAAGAATTACAAAGTTTCAAAATGAGGAAAAAATTGGCTTTAATATAGATTTATCAACCCATGAATTCATACTTAGTGAAACAAATAATGAAACTGGTGATTGGGATATGTTGGAAGCGTTAATAGAAGAACATAACAAACCTAATAGTACCATACTTTGGGAATTTAGATTTATCACCTTTTGGATTAAGCAATTTTACGGAAAATGATACTGACGAAACTATGGAAAGTAATACTGATGAAACTATGGGAAATAATGCTGACAAATTAGCTGAAAACAATAACGAAGCAATATATGAAGAGTTAGGGTTATTAGTATTAGGGTTCTTAATTGGATATTATTCGTATGCATTAGAAATGTTTACTGAAGGTTACAAATTAAAAGCAATTAAATTTGGTAAATTTAAATCATTTCTTTTACTAGTGTGTTTATTAAATTTTTTTGAGTTTTTTTAAGTTTAAAATTTTTTATCAAAATTATTCACATCGTTGAAAAACATTACAGAACTGACTTATGTAATATAAATATGATTTTTTTTAATTATAACTACACCTTTGCTTGGCTTTTTATTGATAAATAAAAAACTAGTTAGTCGCAGATGGATATTAACGAGCTTAGTCACCATATTTATGACTATTTTTTATGTGTATTATTGCTCGATATATTTGCATTTTAAACAGAAAAATGAACATTAACTAAACTTTACTTGCAACATGATATTCAACATGGATTAAATTTTTTCTAACATGAATTTGTTGCCTAATTTTGTCAAATTCAGTATGATATAGAGACGGTAATTGATGGTGAACAGAATTTCCATATACCGTACAGCGCTGCATACAGTATCCCTGGTCTTTTTCAAAAATACCAAGATTAATTAAATAATACCCCGGGGTACTGTGTGAAGAGGAGGGTACTATACGAGGGGGATACTATGAAGAGTGTATTGGTTATGTGAGTTGATCTAATAACAGTATCATCAATTCGGATCATAAACATCATATAGTAATCATTTACCTGGTAAATAAATAAGTATACAACCGAACTTCTTTACATAAATACATTAAGCGATCGAACTTCATTAGAACTTCTTTACATAACTTAATATATTAAGCTATCGAATTTCTTTATATAAATATATTGAAATGGGTTTACGAGCAAACAAAAGAACAAATCGTGTTACAAATACAAAAAAAAACACGACGGCAGTGGAACACACGGGAAAAATAATGTATGGGATGATTAATAATCGAATAATTAGAAATCGGATTTTTTTTAAAAAAAAACGGTACATACAATGAATTTTACGAAGTAGAAAGTATTAATTCTGATAATGATAATTTAATATATTTAAGAAATATGTAATTCGATGTATCGTAAAATTCGTTTAATCGATTAGCTACTTGATTAGTATCGGGATATTTTACAAAAATGGCAGAATTTACAATTATATAGTACCCCGATACTAATTAAAGGGGATACTTTTTCAAGGGGGTACTGTATGCAGCGCTGTACGGTATTCTTCCGAGTAAATAAAACCATCTGATCGAGCAATTATAAAAAAAAACTATCCGTTATTTTCTAGATTTATCTATAAACTTTTATTGTCATCAAACTTAATTAGTATAAAGTTCACTATATGACATAGCGTGCATACTGACACGAGTCTAACACGATAGCGTGGTGTCTCTGATGCAATATCGTAGTTTCAGAAAGTGTGTTATTTCATATTAATTAAAGTGTATACAAGAAAAGTGAAGCATTTTTTTTAATAAAGGGGAAGAACTCTGGTTCATAGTAAAGTAGCATAGTCATAATGATTTTCTTTCCTTAGTCTTCATCAGTTCGCCTTACTGAATTATTATGCTCATTACTGTATAAACTGTAAAAACATTGTATCATTTAAACAATATAACTTTGCTTACCCAAACCAGCTGTTGCAATATACACTCACCAGATTGAACGTCAGGAAATGATTAAGCGGATGCATAGTTGTTAGGCGAAACCTTCTCCGCATTATACAAAGATGAAACTCCAAACTTTTTGACGAAAGATGAACCTTTAAATCGGAAAGGCAAAAGGTGAACCTGATGAGGCCATAGTAGAAGCTCTTGATAAAAAAAAAAAAGTTTATAACCTGCCAAAAATCAAAGTTTCGGTAAAAAAAAAAACAATATAAACAAAGGGTAAGCTATTATTGTTTACATTAAGTATCGATAATCGGCATTCTTGCAGTAACATATGTTAATATTAAGCTTACATAATAAGAATAAGGTAGCTGCAAATTATATTATTCGGAATTTTTCTGGAATTTAAGAACGATCAAGTTGTTTTCAGTGTATTTAGGTCGCTCTCAAGCGCCTCAATCAATGAGTCAAAAAGTGTCTGGGAATAAATTTTACTTAGCGGAAAATAT